GCCGCTGCTCGCCGGTCCCGCTACAGCCGCCGCTGCCGCCCGTGTCCCCGCCGCCGCCCGCGTCGGCCGCCGCAGCGCCGCCAGCAGCATGTCTCGGAGGAAGATTTCGTCCGAGTCCTTCAGCTCGCTGGGCTCCGACTACCTGGAGACCAGTCCGGAGGAGGAGGGGGAGTGTCCCCTGTCTAGGCTCTGCTGGAATGGCAGCCGGAGCCCTCCCGGGCCGCCGGAGCCCAGTGCAGCCGTCGCCAACCCGGCCCCGGCCGCCTCCGCTGCCGCCGCCGCCGCCGCCGCCGCCACCACGGCCGGGGCTAGGAGGGCGCAGCGCCGGAGGCGGGTCAACCTGGACTCGCTGGGCGAGAGCATCAGTCGCCTTACGGCGCCCTCGGTGAGCAGGGGGCGTAAGGAGGGCCCGCGCTCCTGGGGAGAGCACCGGGATGGGGAAAGTTGGCGCGGGGCGAGCCCACCGCTGGGGGGCGGCCCGGCCTCGCCCCGCCCGGCCTAGGGTTCCTGGCGGCCCCGGGCGAGACCCGAACCTCTAGGGTCTGGCGGAAGGGGGATTACGGAACGGGAAAGGAATAGGTCTTCACTCTTTGGGGTCTCCTGATTCAAGGGCCTGCCTGCCCACCTCCAGCTTTAAGCTATCTTCCTCACTGTCACCCCTTTCAGCCCCTAGTGCACCTTTACACCCACCTGTTTTCTTTCTGCCAAACTTTCCCAGCCTCTGTTCCGCAGTTTCCATTTACATGTCTTGCATCTCTTCTCCAGCATCCCAAAGGAGCCCTAGCCTCTTCCGGGAAACCCTTCCTCTCTTTTTTCCCACACTCTTTTGGTCTTAGCATGACCTTCTCTGGCATCTCTGAATCCCACAGGCTGTATGCATTAAGTGTTGCATCCCTTTTCTCAAATCTTCAGGAGCTCTCTGTCAGATACTTTTCTGAGTTGCCTTCTATTGAAGAAACCTCTAATCTCTCTTTTTCTCTCCACCCCATAGCTTTTTGTCTTACTCACTGGGCATTTATTGGCCAAACCTTCTTCTCTGTATAAATTGAAAGTCTCTCTGGTACTTCCTGCACCCATACTTCATCCTTCATGCTCCCTTCCCTCATTTTTCTGTGCCTTCCTTTCACAAATATTTGGTGAATGAATACATGACTTCCTAGACCTCTTGAAACTTGTGCTCATTGAGGCATGTCTGTATCAGCAATTCCAGGTGAACACCAGACTCTCTCTGGTTCTAGGCATCCTTCCACAACACTACTGCCTCATTTCTGCTTAGACATTTTCAGCAACCCTTGACTTGTACCGTTTACAGGATGCCAGACCTCTGTTCCAGCCTTTCCCTGTCTGGGTGAGCTCAGTTTTGAAGGAATCCACTCCAGTGTAAACAGAATCGGAAGGAGAAGGAAATGTTGCCCGCCTGCACCCTTCCTTTTCTCTGTTCAGTGTAAGACCTCCATCCTCCACTTATCCTCACCCTAACCTTGGTTGGATCCAAGGACTTTAACTCCTGACAGCACTCTAACCTGCCTACCCTGAGGCTTTTACTTCCTCAGAGTTACCAGAATAAATCTAAACATTTATCTTGTTTGACTACTCTTGTGTTTTCCCTTTAAAACTACTCTTGCTTACGGTAGGAGGGTCGGAAGAGGAGTGGGATCCTGAAGGATGCTGTTTAGTACCAGGCAGTCCTAAAATGCCCTTGTGGCCCTTGCATTAATGGAGAATGACCTTTTCTTGACTAGTGAAACTGCTCTTTGGATCATCTTCCTCTTCTTGTGTGTTTTTCCCTTTGATTTACCTTCCTTCCACTTCTTTCATTGATAATCTAGGAAACAAACGTCAGGATTGGTTGACTACTGTTTGCTTTTCTTCACTGCAAATATTTCCCAGGAAGCATAATCTTAGGAGCTATTGCTGTTGCAAATTGTTGAACATAAGCCTTTGTAAAAGGATTCCAGTACCTTTGTGCAGTTGTAGTTTTGTGTCTGTACCTAAAGCAGCATTTGTGCAATAATATAATCCTTCAGTATGTTGTTGTTCTTAGGTGCCGTCAAGTCAGCTCTGACTCATAGCGACCCTGTAGGACAGGGTAGAACTGCCCCGTAGGGTTTCCAAGGAGTGGCAGGTGGATTTGAACTGCTGACCTTTTGTTTGGCAGCTGAGCTCTTAACCACTATGCCAGTGAGGCTCCTCCTTCAGTATCTTTGTTTCAGATTTGATACAGTGATTTTACTAAAGATGATAATTAGGTTTTTTGGAATTTTTAAAGTAATCCTGAAGTTTTGTTTTTGCCTAAGAATTAGAATTTACAAATTTGTAAAAAGTAACGGTGGTGCCTCTGGTCATACCAATTTAACTTATGACTAATTTCAACAAATTACATGAGAAGTAGAGCAAATAAGCTGAACGCAGGCATTTACTACAGAATACAAAAAAAGAAAAAAAAATCCATTGCCTTCAAGTTGATTCTGACTCATAGCGACACAATAGGACAGAGTAGGACTGCCCCATAGGGTTTCCAAGGCTGTAATTTTTATGGTAGCAGACTGCCACATCTTTCTCCGGCGGAGCGGCTGGTGGGTTTGTCCCAACCTCCAGCCTTTTGATTAGCAGCCAAGTGCTTAACCATTGCGCCACCAGGGCTCTTTTACTGCAGACTAAGAGACTGATACCTTTATAAATAACATTCAAATGACCTGGACTTTTTGGTAGATCAGAAACTTGTACCAATTAATAATTTCCAGAGTAAAAAAATTCAAAATAATTGCAATGATCAAATACATGCAACAGCTACCATGTACTTTACATGCCCCGGTTTTTTTCTATTTTGAAGAGTCTGTCAGGTGAAATACGGGGAACATACAGGGGAATATAGTACAAATGTTTTCCATATCATAATGCATGTTTAAATAGATTCTCATTGGCCACTCATGTCACCAGTAGACATAGTGACACAAAGAAAACAGAGAATTAGATTTCGAAGCAGTGACTTTTTTCTCTGTGATCCCCACCCCCATTTGCTTGTATTTGGCAAACTAGAAGGAACACAGCCTCAGCAAGATCCAGCAGATTCATTCTTCTACATTGTCAGGATTCTAAATCTCTCTGAAAACACCTATGGCAAAAGATTATATCCTGTTTATTCTCTCGCATTTTCGGGCTGGACAGCTTTTTTTTTAACCTTCTAAACAACCATTACCAAAGCATTCTTAGATGGGAGCTTCTTGTTCTGAGTGTTGTCAGCTTCCTTGCACTCTGTCACAGTATCCTTGAGGAGAAGCTGTACTTGATATGAAAGCTTCTGTCTTCTTAGTGGTTCCATCATGGATTGTTGTGGCAATCACTTAGGATTTGTTCTTTTTTTTTTTTTTTTTAGAATAATTTGCAAGAAGGAAAATGGAAATATATTTAATAAATAGTAATATGTTGCCAAGTAATTAATCTAGTTATTTGACCCATGAAACATACAAACTCCGAGGGAGAAAGATGTGGCAATCTGCTTCTGCAAAGATTACAGCCTTGGAAACCTTATGGGGGCGTTCTGCTCTGTCCTATAGGGTCGCTATGAGTTGTGAGTGACTCGATGGCACACAACAATAACAGTCGTTTTTAGATGCATTAGTGTTGGTTATAAGGATTCTAATATTTTATATCATAGAAGTAAATTGAATTAGTGCAATTGAACCAATACCAGAATTCAGGAGGCCTGGTTCTGATTCAGTCTGGGGCACTGAATACTTGTATGTCCTTGGTTACATTAGTTTAATTCTCTAGGATCCTTCTCATTTGTAAGGTGAGAATGTTGAGTGTCATAAACTAGGGTGCTTTTCTGTTCTGAGATTATATGAAACATGCGTTGTCAGAGTTTCAGCAAACTGTCATAATGACATATGAAAGAAAAACAAGGTATATAAGAGTTTTAAAACTTTTGAGGAAGGGAGATTACTTTTTGAAATGGTGACATTAAAAAATACTGTTTAATCCACCTAATTATTTAAAAATATTTGCAGATCTATTATGTGGCAAATATTGTGCAAGGCGCTAACAATACAAATGCTGGACAAAACATACCCAGTCTTTGACCTCATGTAACTTCTTTAATTATAGTCTTTATTTTAAAGAAATGTTATTCAGGTAAGACATAAGAACTCCATTTGTCTTGGGACTATCGAAAAACAAAAACCAAATCTGTTATGGTCGAGTCGATTCTGACTCATAGCTACCCTATAGGACAGAGTAGAACTGCCCCATTGAGTGTCCAGTCAGCAGCTAGTGGATTTGAACTGCCAATATTTTGGTTAGCAGCTGAGCTCTTAACTACTTCGCCACCTAGGAGAGGTTTTATTATCATGCACTTTGGGTGGTTTTGTCCACTGCAAATCTGTGGGGCACAGCCATGATAACAAAAGTAACCCTAAAGAGCTGATTGAAGATGTATAAAGCACTTGTTACGTTATTTATTTTGAAATAATTTAATACTTGGGAACACATATGGAGTAACAGCTGGGGATTTTACATCAAGGGTGAATTTAGTAAGTCATTTATTTGGATTTTATACTTATGAATTAGAGGAGCTTAGAACCCTCTCATTTTGACATCCGTTTTGGGTTTGTTAATGCCAGCCTGTCAGTGAAGATGTTCCAGGAGACCAACTCAAAGGCTTCCCTAAGACTCTTGTTGTGGCTTTGGATATCTCAGAGGCTACCAAGAGCAGAATGGTAGGAAGAAAAGTAATAGAATTGGAAGGATCAGTATATTAAAAAAACTCACTGCCGTCTAGTTGATTCCGACCCTACATAAGGGGATGAAAAGCTACTAAGAGGAGTATTGTCCAAGAAATGGAGAGGACATTGAGGGAGGAAAGACGAAGGGAGGGCTGGATTCAAGTGGCAAAAAAAACCCCAAAATGTGTTTTATTATTTTGGGAAAGGGAATTATATTGATATGTGCATAGAGTAAAGTGAAAGGGTATAAATTATGTAATTAAAATTACATAATAAAGCGAACTATCTGGCATGTGTAAGCCATTTAAAAAACTTAGAAAATGAGAGTATAACTAGCATATAAATAATAAAAAATATACTGGAATATATTGGTGAAGTTAGATATTTAATTTTAATTAAATATTGCAGCTCATTTTGGCTAACAAAGTTCTGAGCAACAGGTTCGTTGCAATAGAATGTTAGATAAAATGTATTCCAGTAGTTTAATGCTTCCATATTTGTAGAAACTAGATACTGTAATCTGAAATCAGAATTTAATGGCTATCTATTACCTTTCTCTACTTCATCCCTAATCCAGAAACAACCTGACAAAGTTGAAAGAACAGGTTTTGGAGTCTGACAAACTTAGGTTTGAATAAACCCCTGCTGAGTACCTTACTAA